ATGGTATTCTAACGCCTGCAATGTCAGGTTGATAATTCCAACAGTAGTTGCTTTCTTGTATGTGGCATTAGCTGGTGTGCATTTGTAATTTAAAAGCTATCAGTTTATCTCGGAAAATGGAAAAATAAATTTAGAATTATTAGTTTGGTTTTATGAAATTGGTTCCTTCCTCAGTTGAAAAATGATAGACTAACATATTAAACTTTAGCATGACATATTTGCTACCTTGTTAAGCCTATGTTAGTGCAGAAAATCATAACTTTTGCATTATTTTTGTCAATTTAGTATATTTATTAATTAGGAGTAGTTTTAATGTGGCAGTTATATCGGCCATATCAGGAATCAAGGCTGCTGCGGAACACCTATCTCATGGTAGATTTATTTAGATTTACCTCTTTGGGTAAATATTTTATCACTTTTATGTTGCACTTATGTGACTTCCATCCAAGGCATTGATCATTAAATTGTTTTTCATCTAGGTGAAGTGCTGGTGCTTTCTTGCCTGATATTGGTTGGTCTGTTTGCTCTACAGCATTCTGGGACCCATAGGGTTGGCTTTTTGTTTGCACCGATAGTAATCATTTGGTTGATATCAATTTTTGGGATTGGGCTCTACAACGTTATAATTTGGAATCCCAAGATTGTGCATGCTCTTTCTCCCTATTATATCATCAAGTTTTTTAGGGAAACAAGAAAACACGGATGGTTTTCTCTTGGTGGTGTCCTCCTCTCTGTTGCAGGTACATCAAAGATATCATCTCTTTTATCCAAGATTAAAAAGTATCCTTGAATTAAGAGAACTTGTTCGTGCAGATAGTTACTAGTTAGTAAAACAAGGATTATATAACTTGTCCTTTATAGTTTAGAATCTTTTTTTTCTAATTCAGTTTCCATCATCAGGTACAGAAGCTATGTTTGCAGATCTTGGTCATTTCACTTCCTGCTCAATGAGGGTAAGTCAGCCTGTTTGCAGCTTCAGGAAACTGTTGTGCTCTTAGTTAATTTTACCCAGCATGTACGTCTTTCTTGTCAAATCCTGAGCACTAGGACAAAAATAATTGGGTTGGGAAGCAACAAGCAAGAATTGGTTTCTGTTGCAGTTTAATAGTGAATATTTAAGTTGACCAAAGATTCCTGAATAGGGCAACCTTTCGAACTGCTACTGAATTCATGTGCAGGCAAGAGACAACCTGGCTAAGTGAACATCTTACTAGCCAGAAAAAATGGTTCGAGAAATCAAAATAAGTGGCTCAAACCGTTTCTTCTTACTCTTTTTCAAATTTGATAAATATTGTTGTAACAGTTTGAAAATGTAAAAGATCCATTTTTAGCAAACAACAAGGTTTACATGGGTTAAGATAATGAATTTGTTTTAATCAGAGAGGACTTCAGATGACAACTAAGTGAAGAGAATTTGAAACCCTTTGAAGTAACTTTTGTGTCTATTGGATTTTTTTCTTTTTTTGAAAGAAACAGTATTAACTAGATATCCAAAGTGCACCCAAAATTGTATATTTTGTGAAATGGGACCCCCTAGACTGATTATCCTTTTGACTGGGCAGATTATATTGCCTATAGTGGCCGTTTCTCTGTGTCATCTTTCAATGTTGTTGATTAGTTGGATTTCTAGAACTTGCACCTTGTCAATCTGAAAGTCTTTTCCTCTGCAGATTGCCTTTTCATTTCTTGTATATCCTTGCTTGGTGGTACAGTATATGGGTCAGGCTGCTTTTCTGTCCAAAAATCTTGCTTCTATTCCAGACAGCTTTTATAATTCAATACCTGGTTAGTTCTTTATTTCACTTTTGAATGAGATTCTTCTCGGGATAGTTGATGAAGTTATATCCAATTTCCGAACTGCGGCTCATTGCTTTCATGCAGATAGCGTATATTGGCCTGTTTTTGTCATTGCTACCCTTGCGAGCATTGTTGCCAGCCAGTCCATCATCACAGCTACATTCTCCATAGTCAAGCAATTGAATGCACTAGGTTGCTTCCCCCGAGTCAAGATTGTCCACACCTCAAAGCATGTTAAAGGGCAAATCTATATACCAGAAATAAATTGGATCCTTATGATTCTTACACTTTCCGTGGCTGTTGGTTTCCAGGACACAATTTTAATGGGAAATGCATACGGTAAGCCCAACAGTGTGTTGAAGATCTCTTTTGTAATATTTGATGCTCCTTTTGACTATATAATTTTTTGTATCTTGTTTGAAAAGAACATTTAATTTCAATATAAGGTTACAATCTCCATCATGTCTTCTTCCCAACTATTTCAATCATGCTACCTACAAAAGCAACTCGACTTTTTCTTCTGTGCATCTTCCATTATAAACTTAACCTATGTGAGCTTCCCAGAACACAGCCAGTTCCATAGACCATATAAAGGAGGAGGGTTGCGATAGTTTGACTGCCAACAAAAAAATGGTCTAATCATGATGAATCATTTGGGCATAGCAGAATTCCACTAGTTTGAGATTGAGTCATAGCTGATTGATCGATCTGTCAACTGTAAGGTAATTGTTAGAGGGGATGAAGACGTAAAATTCAATTACCGACCCAACTATTTGAGTTTTGAGGCGCAGGTGGTTGTTGTCTATCACCTGTAAGGTAGTTTTGTTAAGACTACTGATTGGTGACAAATCCCAGTTTAGTTCTGTTTGCAAACTTTTCTATGGAACCTAATTGCTTTATATGATTGTGTTCCTCTAATGTGATGTGTAGCTCTACTAATGTATTCTTCTTTGTGAACCTTGTGATAGAAGATTTGTAAGCCTCATGGGACCAAAGGAGTCTCATCTGAAAAGATTAGAATGATAAACAAAAACTAGAAGAAGTGAACTAGAAGGAATCTCTAATTGCATTACCTGCTGAAAAGAATGTTCTTTCTTTTCTCAAACACAGTACAAAGAGTATTCCCTTGTGTGAAGTATCATGTGGTCATTGTGACTTCTTTTATCATGATACTGATTTACAATGAATATTGTTGCAGCTACTACAAAAAGTTTATGTTTCACACTTGAATCTTTATTTTAATTTAGCCTTGTGATAATTCTTGGTTGTTTTCTCATATTGATTATTTTCCTTTCAGGCCTAGCTTGCATGACTAGTATGTTTATCACAACGTTTCTCACCACACTGGTCATGATTTTTGTGTGGCAAAGAAACATAGTTCTTGCCACTTGCTTTCTCCTATTTTTCTGGTTCATTGAAGGTGTGTACCTGTCTTCCGCATTCACTAAAGTTCCACAGGGAGGATGGGTCTCCCTAGTGCTCGCCTTTGTCTTCCTAGCAGTCATGTTTGTCTGGCAATATGGAACTCGCAAGAAGTACAATTTTGATCTGCACAACAAAGTTCCATTGAAATGGCTCCTTGGCATGGGCCCCAGTCTTGGTATTGTGCGCGTCCCCGGGATAGGCCTTGTATACTCAGAATTGGCAACAGGGGTTCCAGCTATCTTCTCTCACTTTCTGACGAATCTCCCTGCATTTCACAGTGTGTTGGTGTTTTTATGTGTCAAATCTGTTCCAGTACCCTATGTCTCACCTGAGGAACGCTTCCTCATTGGTCGCATTTGTCCAAGACCCTATCGCATGTATCGTTGCATTGTTAGGTATGGCTACAAGGACATACAGAGAGATGATGGGGACTTTGAGGACCTTCTCATCCAAAGTATAGCAGAGTTTATCCAAATGGAAGCTGTGGAACCACAGTTGTCAAGCTCCGAGAGTCCATCACTTGATGGGAGGATGGCAGTCATAAGCAAAAAAAACGTACAGTCGACTTCAACACTAATTGTCTCAGAGGATTTTGGAATGAGGGACTCCATTCAAAGCAGCAAGTCTCTGACTCTCCAGAGTCTAAGATCTGCTTATGCTGAGGAGAACCCACAAATAAGGAGGCGACGAGTGAGGTTTCAATTGCCAGAAAACCCTGGCATGGATCCAGCTGTTAAGGCAGAGCTTGAAGATTTAATTCGAGCAAAGGAGGCAGGGGTTGCATATATAATGGGGCACTCCTACGTGAAAGCTAGAAGATCGTCCTCTTTCTTAAAGAAGTTTGCTATTGACATTGGGTATTCATTTCTGCGCAAGAACTGTAGGGGTCCTTCCGTGGTGCTTAACATTCCTCAGATTAGTCTTATTGAAGTTGGCATGATATACCATGTCTAGAGGGAAAATAACCTGGCATTGGAATTTAACATGCCGTTTGGTTGTTGCCTGCAGAATGTTTAGGCTTAGTAGATGATTGATAGTCCTAACATCAAATGCGATATCCGATAGCAACTGTTGAGGAGAAGCTGGTAGATGATGTTGGTAGTCTTATGGAATCAAATGTGAAATATCAGAATAGAAGAACTGATTTAGTTGTTTCATGTCCTACACCTTCTATAATTGTATGCATATAGAAAATTTCATACTTTTTAATATCTTAGCATGCTTGGGAATACATAAACATTGCACATTTTCCTTTACTTCTTTTTCAGAGCATTGTACTTGAGAGTTGGAGTACATCAAGTGACAAACCTCAAAGTCCATTTAGGATGAAGGTACTCTCTTTGAGTTAATTTTTACAGCCAAATAAACAAATGTGATGCTGCTGTCATTGCTTTTGTAGCTTCATAATTTAGGTCCCAAATGTCCTTTCAATTTATTTATTTTGCATAGCCACATGACAAAAACATTCAGAGTGAAGTTGTACCCTAATTGTGTAACTTCACTTGCTATCGATGCAGGGTTCGAATCTCATCAAGGCTCTTTCCTCTTCTTTTTTGAATTTTTTTGCTATTCGCGAGCTAACCCATGTCCCAGAAAATCTTTATTTATAAAAGAAAGAACAATAACAAAAAGAAACAACAATAGTTTTGCATTTTCCAAACTATCAATATACCTATTCCCATTGGAACCCTAAGTATATTCTTTCTTATAATAAGTCCTATTTCAGTATCTTTTTAATAAATTTTATTTTCTTCCTTTCTTTTCCCTAAAAAGTCTGAAGGCAACCTTTACTGGTGCTTTTTCAGAAAGAACAAAGCTGACATTTTTTATTAAAAAGATTCCATATTTTGGAAACTTTATTCCCCTTAACATGAATTAAAGTCATTACAGAATGATTCTGTATGATCTAAATCTGAACTATCAACCAAAGTGAAGTAAAATGTATGAATTTCAAAAAATTCTCAGTGTACAATTTGACTCCCTGCAGCTATGTCTTCCTATCAAATCATTGAAAGAATGATGTTATCTGTCACAGAATGCTCCCATCTGGAATAATGGCACCCTTCATTATTACAACTATGCCTTTAGTGATAATGTAACCATTTGCTTCATTATTGCACTCCTGAACATTTTCCTTATTCAATATCTGCATAAAAAGATTACTTAAGTATGAATGCAGTTTGATAAAGAAAATGAAATCACAACATTCTGTATTGTTGTTGATATTTTCGCGCATTCAAACAGCTTATCGTTAAGGTGCATTTTGAGTTTGATAGGAAATCTTTCTAAGTACCTTAACATTTTTGCCAATTCTCACATTCTTATCAATTATTGCTTTCTTTATCTGTGAGCCTTCTCCAATTCCAATAGGAATGTGTATATCCTCCTCTGTGCGACCACTCTGCATATTTTTCACCAAGTTAAATATCCTTCCCCTAGAAACTTAATGTTCCTTATTGTTACCATGATCGATAAGAATCAAACGTAGAAATATGAGGGATCTTTCAAAAAGTTTTACTTGAATATGAACTGGATTCATATAGTCTCCATTTCCTCTATGTGACCATCCATGACTACCAAATGAAATGTATTCATGTGTCTTACTTGGTAAGTATCAGATCCCATTATTACTGAATCCTCAATTATCGCTCCATCACCTACTCTTGTCTTCATGCCAACGACAGTACCTCTGATCTTGCATCTCTGCACTCGGAAAACACAAAGTATGGAAGAAAGATGTTTGTGAGACCAAATTATTGAGAAAAATTACATAAACTTTAACTATATTTCAAGGACAATTGATCACTTTTATACATTGAGAAAGCATCCGTCTCCGATCACAGAGTCTGTTATAGCAGCATCAGTTATCTGAGTTGGAGGCAGGTGTCGAGGCAAAGTGTATAGGGGAGAGTCTTTGTCATACAAACTGCTAACGAAAATGAAAATCCCGTTAGGTGATATGTAAGGGATTTACTCTTGAGACTTATTAGTTTTTGGAGATACTGACCTATATGCCTTCTTTGTGTTCTTTATGCTTTCCATATTTGCTTGGTAGTAAGCTTCAATGCTTCTCATGTCCTCCCAGTAGCCACTGAATTTGTGTGCATATACCTGTTTGTTCCAAAGAATGGTTCAATTAAGAGTAGAAGACAAAATGTTGAATATCTTTACGCAACAGGATGGAGAAATTTTATGTTCAAAATGGCAACTTAGAGCAACAAGTTGCTCGGATATGGAAATACACGACTCTTACATTCATTCCTAAGGAAATTGCACCTGGTACAACTTCTCTTCTGAAGTCATTGGCCATGGGGTGATACTCTGTAAGAAGCTTTATCATGGCATCTTTGTTAACAACATAGATATCCATACCAGCATACAAATCTTGAGAAATATCTGAATTTTGTACCTGAAAATAAAGTTTTCAGCTAGTCCATAATGAGGAACAAATGAAGCTATTGGAAGTACGAGAAGAAGGAAAAAGAGACATACTACTCTTATCTCCGGATTGTCTTTGAACGAAATGACTTGATTTTCAGAATTTACTTGGAAAGTACCAAGTTCTATATCTTTATCTGTCCTTCTGCTCAAAACTGCAACAGTTATATCGGCTTTGTTGTTGCAGTGGACCTTTAAGAGTTCCTGGAAATCCATTTTGTAAAGATGGTAACCAGGAAGAACCAGAAAATCAACAATCGGATACTCTTCTAGTACCCACAAACATCTTCTTATCGCATCAGCAGTTCCCTGAGAATACATGAAAACACAGAGAAGCATAACGGTCCTATAGTTCTAATGGAGAGAAGAACCTACAAAATCTCTCAACTTCTTTATCCGTAGAATACATTGGATATAACAGTGTTGCTCTTATTCGTGTTAACAGCTACTCAAGAAGGAATGCTATAGAAGGCATTTATAAAGGCTTGAAACTGCCTGTTTTTGTTTACCTGAAACCAGCCCTTGCCTTCAGGACTCTGATAAGCTGCAATTACATCAACTAATGCTTCGTTTCCGATGTGTGCACAGGAATAAGCTCTTGAAAGGTGAGAATTCAGAGAGGCAGAGTTAAATTGTGTAAGTGCATAAATCTTCTTGATATTACTATTGATGCAGTTACTGATAACTGCATCAATGAGCCTGTAGTTTCCTGCTATAGGAAGTGCAGCTTTTGATCTTCTCTTTGTCAATGGATAAAGTTTTGAATTTGATCCATCTCCAAACACTATTGCTGCAACATTCTGCCAACAATGGTAAAGATGAAAATCTACATTTTAGATTCTTGGCACATTGACATTGTATTGTTTGTAAAGAATCAGTAGAAAATAGTAACAAGATATATTGGTCCAGGCTCAACGGTCAAGGTATTGCTCGCTCTTCGTCTAACTTTTGGGACCTTAAGGGTTTGGTCCCTTGGGTTTTAACCCAAAAGACGCCTTGACAGTTGAATTCTGAACTCGCTCTTTATGGCCCCTAACTTTCCCCCTCCATTTCAATGCTGCATTTGACTTGGACAAGTTTCATAGTGAACACCTTTCTAGTTCAAGAACACATTACTAATAAGGGTAAAACGGAAATTTTTTTTCCCTCTGTTCATTTTTACTTGTCCAGTATTGACTTGACACAGTCCTTAAGGAGCAATAAATAAAATTATAATTTTACTATATTACCCTATGAATATAATAAACTCAATGTTCTGTTAAATGCATTGGGAAATGACCATCTCTAATCATAAGGATAAATAAGGAACTAAATAATAAAATTATCTCTTGGTTTTCTCGACTGGACAAGAAAAAGTGAACATCTATTTTTAGTATAGTGAACAAACAAGTAAAAGTAGATGGACAGAGAATGACAAGTATTTTGAAATAGATATTTTTAGTATGGACGACATGTAAACCTGGTCTATTGGAGGACATAGAGTGTTTGGACATTCAGAGTGATTTGTAAATGGTAGATTCAACTTTGGTGGAATAGAAGATGGAATGAGCCTAGATGAAGGCTTGTAGCTATACTCATGAGGGGACTTAATCTTGAGACTTAACCAAGTAGGAAGAGACATGAGTGAATATTTTTTGTGCATCAAAATCACCTAATTGGTGGTTTATATACTTTGCCTTTTTGGTGTTATGTCACATGAATATAAGAAGGGAATATTTAGCCATACAAGCAAGTCCCATTAAAATATTTTGTCCTCTCATTACTTAGCTTAAAGTGAGCATGTTGTTATATCATGAATAAATAAATCTAAATGTTTCTAAGTTTTTTTCTTTCTTCCTTTGGTTCTATGTTTAACTTTGATTCTAAACTTCTCTTTACATAAATAACATATAATTTTCAACCTTTTTCTTCTTTTTTCTCCTTCATATGATAGTTATGCTATTCATTTGGTACCATATTTTTCCTTTTTGACAAAGACATATTGTAGTAGTGAATATCATTCAACTTTCACTTTTAAAAAAATAAAAAAGAATAAACACAGCAATAAAAATGTCACCAATGTATGATATGAATACACATCAATGTTCGAGCCTAGAATAAATACTTCTCATTATGATTTTTTTCCCCTCGTATTTAACTTCTTGTTTGCACAACAAATAACCGAAAGAATCGGATGTGGAATAATATTTGAAATAATATTGTATATTCGATGATGTACTAATGCTTATTAATAACTAATGTATGTATGTATAAATAATGGTTTGACATCATTTGCAAATGATATAAAGTAAATATTAATTTGAGACTATAAGTAAAGTATTAAAATCTTTAGAGATTGCTCGAGCTTATTTACTTCAATATATTTTTGTACAAAATTATGAGTACGCCACTTGGTCAGAAGAGTGAAGGGTAGCATGATGTGATTGGGAATATTTGAAAGTTTGAAAGGAATCTTATGAAGGTTTTGCCTCTATATTTTTGGCAAATGGGAATGGAGTGGATATGAAGGTAGGCATTATCTCTGCTTTCGTGTCTTATGTTATATTGTCCCCTCTATAAATTCTATGTCAAGCAAGTTTAAGAAATTTTATATCTAATTATTATTATTATTATTATTATATTAAAAGATGAACTATTTAATTCCTTTTATAATAATGTTTGTCTTAGCATAATTAGCTTTACAACTAATACTGAGAAGTTTTAGTTTTGTTAGTACAGAAAAGTTTATTATAAGAAATTACTAATGTTGAATAAAGAAGCAAAGTCTAACTAGCAAAATCTTGGATAAACTTAATGAGGGGCATGTTGGTCAATTCAAATAGTATATGTATATTTGTCTGTTTGGTTCTATTTTTTTTTAAAATCAAAACTAAATCAAATATTGTGTGGTTTTTAAATATCTAAACCAAACCACACCCCAAAAAGGATCGAAGGATCGATTTATTTAATTAGTTTAATTATACAAAGTGATTATTTGAAAAAAAATTAATTATATTATGAAATTAGAAAATAAGAATGAAATAGAAATAATAATATAATAAGTGAAAATTTTATAATTGACATATATAAGACTAATTATTACTAGTTATGACATTATTCTTTATGTTTCAAGTTTTAACATTAAACAATTACGGGCTATAATATTTGTTGAATAAAAAAAGAGTAAAAAAAAGACTAAATATAAATTAACAAATATATTAATAATAGTAATGATAATTAATAATAGGCATACAATAAGGAAAGTCATAACAAACAGAATTTTTATTTTCCTTGTTTAACTCAAAACAATTATTGCATTTTCTCTCACATGTTAATTGTCTATCAAAACATAAATCAGCATTTTTTACTCAATATCCGTATGTTTCTCCATCAACGCTCAAAGTCGCTCAATTTATTTTTTAGCACGATTTTTTTGTTTTGCCATTATCTTTATCTGGGATGGAAGATTTCTTACCAATATTAATTAAGTATGGTGGTAGATGGATTGTACAAGTTAGTGTTTATTTCGTCTGTGTTTTAGTGAATAGTATTAATTTTTATTTCAACAAATCCTTTAATGTATACTATTCAATTTTTAAATAAGAATTGTTTATTTTTTACATGAATTTGGTATAGAAATTTGCATATACCTACAATGGAATTGATTTATATATTGTTAGTTTATAATTAAAGAATTTTTATCATTAACTTCTTTGAATCTGGTACTCTTCTTGGTATGATTCTCGTATGAACTAGTGTTTAGTGTTGGTATGAAATGCGTATAGAAATGTTCATGTTAGTGTTTATTTCGAATGTGTTTATTTCAAATGTTCAGGTTAGTGTTTATTTTGAATTTGCACTCCTTTTGGTATGAATTTCGTATGAACCAATGCTTAGTCTTGGTATGATATTGGTATAGAAATGATCAGGTTAAAGTTTATAATTAAAGAATGCTTACAATTACCTTGTTTGAATTTGGTTCTCTTTTTTATATGAATCTTGTATGAATTAGTGTTTAATATTGGTATGAAATTGGTAAAAAAATTGTATGCATTTGGTATACTATTTATATAACAAAAACACAATTACTAGTAACAATTGATTTGAAATTGGTGTTCTTCTGATAGAGAGACCACAACTTGAACGCTGGAAGGAGTTTGCTGATGTGAAATTCAAAAGGTCTAAAGTTACTTGCAGTACA